ATTTATGTACTCAATGCATCATTTTCTTTTCTGCAGAGCTCCTCACTCTCCCAGGAGGCTGCTTTGAAATCTTTGCTGGAGGACAGGGTCAGCCCCAGGACGACATGAAGGCTGTGCCTCCGGGTCCTGCCACACAGGCAGCTAACTCCTGAATCTCCCCCCAGTGACTGACGGAGTGCCAGCCATGCCCAGTTTGTTCTCACCACAGAAAAATACTAAATAGGTGAGGTGATGGATGTGTTAACTTGATTTAATCCTTCCACAATGTATAAATAGATCAAAACATCACAGTGTACACTTATAGACACTATTATCTTTAAGATAAAAAATTAAGTATTTTTAATTTTTTAAAATTTGACCCAGTTTGAATAGCTCCTTCTGAACCCACCCTGATTCCCAGTGAAAATTAGAGCCTACCTCCAAGCCAGGCTTTCCAACTTATCTTCACATTGAAATTACCAGGGGACTTTTTAAAATTCCCAAAGCCCTGGCCACACCCCAGAGCAGCTCACCCACAGTCCTCAGGGTGAGGCACTGGTACGGCCCCCTCAGGCTCCCCACGTGTGGATGTGGTTAGAAACCGCTGTTCTTGAGTGAGTTTCTGGGAGGGATTGGAGTCTGACTCTGAGACACAAACCTACTAAGAATTCATTACATCTTTACAAGAAACACATGAAAGCATTCTTCCTGCAGACGCTTCTATACCAGGAAGGCAATCCCCACACCAACGGGGAAAGGCAAGTGTAGAGTCAATAACACAGCGCCAAGCGGTCTCCCCAGTGAGGGCTCTCAGCACAGCACTGAACATGAAGGAAGCAGAAATCCACCTTGAGGAATGTCATCCCCACACCCTAGGCTGAAGCTCAAGGCCACCCGCCAAGTGACAACACACATAATTGTTCCTTATCAACCTCATCTCCCGTGAGACCAGGTGATAGACTCCCCGGGGCCACAGCACAAAGAGGCCAGCGGGCCCCAAACAATAAGCTCAAGCTTGCATCCCCCCCTGTCCCTCAGCTCCGCCCATCAGGGTCCCTGCCAGAATAAACAATCCCAGCAACGCTCCATGACGTCTTCCAATCCATCCGAGGGCTCCCCGCAGCCCTCTCTCATCAGTGGACGGCACACACTTTTTGGCTGGTAAAAAAGTTGAGGATCTTGCACTAAAGAAGGATGACAGATGCGGTTAGAGAAATAAGAGGGTTTACATCTGCACCAGGTGGCAGGTGGAGCTCCCTGCATTTCTCCCGAACACAAAACTTACTTCTTTTGGAGCCCTCCTCTTGCCAGGAGCAGCTGGAGACTCCCCCATTCTTTTTTTTGAAAGGGAGTCTGGCTCTGTCGCCAGGGCTGGAGTGCAGTGGCCGGATCTCAGCTCACTGCAAGCTCTGCCTTCCGGGTTCACGCCATTCTCCTGCCTCAGCCTCCCGAGTAGCTGGGACTACAGGTGCCTGCCACCTCGCCCGGCTAGTTTTTTGTATTTTTTAGTAGAGACAGGGTTTCACCGTGTTAGCCAGGATGGTCTCCATCTCCTGACCTCGTGATCCGCCCGTCTCGGCCTCCCAAAGGATTTCCCCCATTCTGAGGCACCTCTCGTTTGCTATACTTTTGAAGAAATGCAGTTTTTAAAAACTGCCCAGAAAAGCCTAGGATGGCAAGGACTCCCCCTTGCATTTTACTAGCACAATGATCTTCAACCCCGAGGTGTCGCCCGGACGGCTGGCTGCGCCAGGCGCAAGTTGCACAAGAGCTTCCATGAGGAAGTGGATTGTCGCCCCAGAGCAAGTGCAGCCGGGGGAAAGCAGGGTGCACACTCTAGCGTTCAACATCATCCAACGAGAGCAATGCACTTGGACTTCAAGAGAAGGATAACATCTTCTCAGGGTGCATACTCCAGGTCATATCCATTGGGCTAAGCTTGCTGTTACCAAGAAAAGTTGATTAAATATCATTTTCCTAGGTCCTGGGTATGGAACCAGAAACTGACTTTAAAAATTAGGAGGTTAATGGGAAGTCAAGACACCACAATCCACAATGGACTTGTTGGTTCTAACATGGACCCAGCACATGGCTGGAACGTCCACTTTCCACACAGAGCCAGAAACATTTTCTGTACAGGGTCATTTTTTGTAGATCTTGCAGGCTAGACTGTCCCCATCGCAACCACTTTGCCATCGGGAGCAAACCCAGTGATAGAGGATTCATAAATGGATGGGGAGCACTGCTGCTAGGCATGGAGGGTTGCCTGGGTATTGCATGCACTGTTCCAAGGAATATCATGCTGTTTCCTAGGACTGCCTTGACACATTCCCACTAACTGGATGGCTTAAAACAGTGGAAATTTATCCTTTCACAGTTCTGGAGGCCAGAAGTCTGGAATCGAGGTGTTACCAGGGCTGGGCTCCCTTGAGAGGCTCCAGGTGGGGGCTCCTTCCAGCCCCTTCCAGCCTCTGCCCTGGCCCTCATGTGGCCTTCCCCTTTGTCTCTTAGAAGGGCAGTTTTCTCTGGGTTTACCACCCACCCAGGTGCTCCAGGACGATCTCACCCAGAAATCTGTAATTGAATTACAATTGCAAAGACCCTTTTTCCAAATAAGGGCGTATTCCCAGGTTCTAGTGATTGGGACACAGGTATATTTGGGAAGCCACCATCCAACCCCTGATAGAGACACTAAAAATCACTTGTTATTCTGAAACTCAAAGTTAACTGTGCATTTGCATCTTATCTGACAGCCCAGATGGCTGCCCTGCCCTACATCTACACCACTGCCCCAGCCAAACCACTTCCCGGGCCTGGAGGCAGAGACGCATGGAGGAGGCCTGTTGAGCGGAAACTCTCAGTGTCTGCAGGGGAGCTCGAAGCTGGGTCAAGGGGCTGGGTGTCCACAGCCCCTCTTCCTCCCAAGAGGCAGGAAACGGACAGCTGTTTCCTGATAGCCTCAGGACTGATTACCAGCACATGCCATGAGCTGGTTATGCTGGTTATAGGTTAACTATGTCCTCTCCCACCTGTGTAACTGAGTCAAGCAAGCTTCTTCACCACAACCTGTGACCATCAACCCTGTAGGGTATTTCCTGGAAACTCAAAAATTATCCTAAGTCCCAGGGCCAGGGAGGCTGTGGACACAGGGAAGGGGAATGAAACAGTGGTCTCTTTTCTCTTTTGACAGTCACGCCTTTGTCTATGGGCACTTGCTTCTCTGTAAAAATGGATGCGCTGGCCAGACGCAGCGGCTCACACCGGTAATCCCAGCACTTTGGGAGGCCGAGGAGGGTAGATCATGAGGTCAGGAGTTCAAGACCAGCCTGGCCAAGATGGTGAAATCCCATCTCTACTAAAAATACAAAAATTAGCTGGGCGCAGTGGCAGGCGCCTGTAATCCCAGCTACTTGGGAGGCTGAAGCAGGAGAACCGCTTGAACCCGGAGAGCAGAGGTTGCAGTGAGCCAAGATAGCACCACTGCACTCCAGCCTGGACAATAGAGTGAGACTCTGTCCAAAAAAAAAAAAAGAGGATGCATTGTCCAGCAGGCAGTTACTGAGGGCACAGAGAATCCGGGGGGCTGTGGCTGTGGCGGGCCCATCGGCCTGCGTTTGTGAGAAGAGCCTTTCGCCCAGGGCATGGATTTGTTTCCCAGGCGGGGAGATCAGGAGCAGGAGAGAGGGACAGTGAGCTGGTAAGGAGCCGGGCTGCGACGTCGGGAACGGTGAGAGCGCGGCTTCCACGCTGACCCTCCTGGCCTCATTTTCCATGCTGTCGCCAGAGGAAACGTCAGGCCCACAAACCTGGTCATCTCACTCTGTTGCTGGAAACCCTCCCAGGGTTCTGCTTCCGCTCGGATGGAACCCACGTCCCCTCATTCAGCCTCGGCTCAGTTCCTCAAACAAACCAGGCTCTTCCCGGGCCATTCCCTCTGCCTGGAGCATCCTTGCCAGCACGTTCTCCACCAGCCCATTCCCACCCACTCCTCACGGACTGGCCCGGGTGTGGCTCCCCAAGGAGGGACTCTCTACCCACTGACAGCAGTCTCTAACTGTCGTGACAGCCGCCCTCGTCATCACAGCACTGCACACGTTTCTGCAACACGGCGTCCTTCACCCTGCTCTCCCGCCACTAAATGGCTGGGCCCAGGAGGACGGGGTTGGGGGTGCTTTGCCTCCTCCACACACCCAGGGACAGGCACAGTGCCCGGCACAGGGAAGACGCTTGAGAAATACTCCTGAACCTATGAATTGAGAGACCAAGCTTGTTAGCCATGGGATTATCCGCATTTGCAACTTCGATGGGAAGAAAAGAAAACCTTTCTCGGCCGGAAGTGAAGCTCAGCACTGAAGAGGGTCCCACACCCTTTGGCGGCTGGAGGGAGAGGAGAATCTGGGTGCGCCATGGGCTGGATGGCAACGTGAGGTGGGCAGCTCTGTCCTTGCATGAGCCATTCCACGTCATGCATATCTAGTCTGATTTTACGGAAAATCCTGACTTTATATGAATTCTCTCCATTTTTAAATGTTAGCAAGTAGCTTTTTCTAAACACTGCATGCCAAGCATAGAATCTCTGTCTCAAGGCAACGTTCGCTGATTGACCTCTCATTGAAAATCCCTGGTTTCATGGGTGGTTGAAAAATAATTACTGAGTTGTCAAGAATTGCTCTTCTCACATCTCCAGAGGACTCTCTATCTCCTTTCCCAATCGCTACATCTTAGGTTTCTATTTCAATAACGATTAATGTTATGAGGTTCTCTTATGGTGGTTTGCGGTACAGTGTCTTCCAGCTCCACACCAGCATCTCAGTAATACTGCAGGAGCCTTTGAAAACAGTATGCTGAGAATAGATAGGGCTCAAGGACAGTATCTCCAATTGAACTTTTAATGAACTCCCGTAGGCGCCAAGAAGGCGGGCAGATAAGGAAGAGCATAGAAACAAAGAACTGAGTAGAAGGTTACATCTGGGAAAAGAAAGTTTGTTTTGCATTGCGTTCTTTCTGCTGATGTGGGGTTTATGGAGTATAAATAAAGTGAGGCGGAGGCTCTGAGCGCGGCCGCCATGTTCTCTGTGTGTCTTTGTCTTTTGTGTGTTCTTTCATTCTCCACCACCCCCGGCACGGACCCCAACAAGTGGCGCAGTGAGCAGGGTCAGCACGGGTGAGTAGGGGAGAACAAGAAGGGGAACCCCCAGGGGCGGGTAAGGCCCAGATATTGTTAAGGAGAACCTTCTTAAGCTTTCATTATGGGGAATTCCATCTCTCTGGCCTCAGAATATTTACGGCTGTTTCAAGGACTATTGCTGTCTATAGGAGTAAAAGTGAAAGAAAAAGACTTTGAAGTGATTGTTTGCCCATGTTGAACAACATTGTTACTGGTTTCAGTATCAGACTAAAGTGCAGCTGAATCGTAGAGAATGGTTACAGGTAGTAAAAACTCTGCTTAGAGCTCTCCAGTTAGGGGATATTATGCCTCTAAAATTGTGGACCTTGTGTGACTCTATCACTCAGACATTAGAGTTACTTGAGACTGATTCAGAGTGTGGTAATGTAGCCACAGGAGGAAAGGTATCTGAGGATTTGGAAAAAAAAAAATCTGAAATGAAGCCCATTTGTGCCAGGATAACAGAGGATGGAGGGGTAGCAAAAGGGGGAGAAGAGAAAAAGCCAGCTCTTCCTTCTTCTAAGGGAAATTCTGACATGCAGAGTATTATGGAAATGCTTCAACAAATATTACAGATATATTCTTCTAATTCACCTTTGCGAGCTTTCCCTGTTTCTTTTCCTTCTGCCCTGTTAAAAGAGGATTTTCCAGAGCCTCCAATCCCCCGGCTTCCTTATCTTTGCCTTTGTTTGGCAAAGTTGAAGCCCTGTTCACATCAGACATACTTTAAATTTATACTAAACACCTGTTTAATATGTTAAAACCAGTGTATATGTATATCTTATTGTTTGTTAAAATATTATGAGTATTTCAATAGTCAATAAATAAATACATTAATATTAACTATTAATATTAATATAGTATTAATAACCCCAGCTAGGAAATTGTTATGTTATAGGGGTGCATAGGTTCCACCAATTTACACTCCAAACAGAAGTTGAGTATTCGAGTTGCTTAACACATTAACTACCTCTTGATATTTTCTGTGTTTTTAAATTTTAACCATTGTATTGTGTATGTAATGATTCTCAATTTGGTATTAATATACATATTTCCTAGTGAGTAATGATGTTAGACATATAGGTTTATTGTCATTTCTTTGTTCTGCTACTTTTGGTTGGGTTATTTGCCTTTTCTTATTAATATGTTGAGATTCTTTATATTTGGGGATATGAGTATTATTATATATTATATATACTTTTAATTAAAAAAAAAATTTAAGGAGCTGGATCTGTTTCCAATTATTGGTGCTTCTTTTGCTCCTAATGCTCAGTTTTCAAATGGTGGCAATAATGTCCAATTTAATGCCTTACAAATTAAATTTTTAAAAAGAAATGAAAGCTGCCATTTCTAACTATGGATCTCAATCTCCTTTTATCCTTGGTCTTCTTGATGTTTTTTCATCAGAAAATTTGATGATTCCTATAGACTGGAAGACTTTGGGGAAGGCTTTTCTTGATCGTTCTCAGTGGTTACAATTGCACACCTGGTAAATGAACAAGGCACATGTATAGGCTAGAAAAAATGTTATGTGTGATCCCCCTGGACCCACTGAGGAACAACTCACAGGCACGGACCAATATGCTACTCTTAATGCTCAGGCTGGTTTAGATGATGTTGCCTTTACTCAAATCAAGACTTTGTTTTTAAGGGCCTGAAATAAGGTAGAGATAACAGGAAAATGTTCCCTTTCCTCTGTGAAGATTTTACAGGGCACAAATGAACTATATTCAGATTTCGTAGCCCGTCTTCAGGATGCTGTCTTCAAAATTGTGGGTGCTGGCCTTGCTTCAAAAATTGTGTTATAAACATTGTCTTTTAAAAATGCTTATGCTGACTGTTAAAAATTGTTAAAATCGTTAAAGGCCAATGGGGCCAATTTAGATAAATATATTAAAACTTGTGTTAGTGTTGGAGGGGCTATTTATGATGCTCAATTATTTGCTGGAGCTTTGTCTAAAGACTTAAAAGGAAATAACAAACAAGGTGTTTGTTTGCAGTGTGGTAAACCTAGACATTTCAAAAAAAAGAATGTCATAAAAATTGAACACTTTTATCCCTCAAGGCAGAAAGCTGCCTTCAGAGGTGTACAAATATTGTGGTAAAGGTCGACATTGGACAAATAAATGTCGTTCCAAAACTGATAAAAGTGGAAATTTACTGTCTCCTCTCCTGGGAAACGGGAGTCAGGGCCCACAGGCTTGGGGCCCCAACAATTACAATACAAGTCTACTACAATATTCAGTGAGCAATGGCCTACAACATTAAGGAATAAATTCAAGTCCTCCTTAAGGATCCCACACCTTACCCAGTTTCTCAGCTTTATGCGGCAACTAAGCAGAGCGCCGCTGCTGACTTAGCTATTACTCAGCCTTATACTTTGTCTCCTAATAGAGGAGTATATAAATTAGCTATTAGAGTGTGTGACCCTTTGCCAAAAGGACATGTAGGACTTTTGTTAGGTCAAAACAACAGTGCTATACGGAAGTTAATGATGATTCCAGAAATCATTGATCTTGATGTTACTAATAAAATTCTTATTATGGTACAAGTTTCACAATTTATACGCCTAGAGGCAGGGGAACGTATTCTCAATAGGGAGGATTTGGTAGCACAGAAAAAACTGTTTTTTGGGAAACTTTAGTTTCTAATCAAAAGCCCTTATGTTCATTGCATATTAATGGATAGTTTTAAAGAGTTAATTGATACGGGGGTGAATATGTCTATTATTTGTTTAAATTAGTAGCCTATACAATGGGAAAAAAGACAAGTTTCAGTTATACTCACTGGCTTGGGTGCTGCTTCTGTGATTTATCAAGACGTAGAACCTTTAACCTGTGTCGGTCCTAAAGGTCAACAAGGTCAAGTGTTTTTTTTTAATTTTTATATTGTTCCTATCAATATTAATTTTTGGGAACAAGATCTTTCACAACAATTTGCTGCTTTTTTAAACATTCCTCATATTTCCTCAGCTGCCAAAAATAAGATGTTCAAAATGGGCTACAATCCTTTAAACTCATAGCCACCACTCCTATTTAGGTGAAACAGTGACTATTATTTAAAGAAATACTTAGGACTCTAAAAGAGTAAGTCAAAAAACAAATGGCCGAGAGGAATATAAAGCCACGTATTTCTGCATGGAATTCCTGTCTTTGTCTTGTCTTAAAATTATAAATGTTTACATTAAACCTAGGGAAAGTTTACAGCCTGGTCTTCCTAATCCTGCCCTTATCCCACAAAGTTAAAACCAGAGAAAAGCAGCAAGATGCTTTTGTATCATTACAAACTCAGCTTTCTTTCTACTCACTTAATATTGCCACAGAAAAATTTAACTGGATTTTCTTATCAATATTTAGGTTATACCTTGGGGGCACAAAATATTCGACCCCAAAAAATTCAAATTCGACGTGATCATTTAAAAACATTAAATGATTTTCAAAAGCTTCTAGGAGACATTAATTGGATGCGTCCTGTTTTAGGAATACCAACATATCAGTTATAACATCTTTTTTCTATTCTAGAAGGAGACAGTCACTTGGACAACTCACCCCATTTAACTCCTTTGGCTTTACAGGAACTCCAGCTTGTTGAAGGGCAACTTCAAAAGGCCCTTCCTTTTGTTTATTTCATACTTTACCTTCTCCCACAGGAATGATTCATCAAACTAATCGACCACTAAAATGGATCTTTTTGTCCAATAAAATATCTAAACGCTTGGCTACTTATATCGATCGTTTAGCTGAACTGATCATCAAAGGACGGCATCACTGTCGACAACTTTGGGGAGGAGATCCTTCCTTAATTATCTCTCAATTCACTCATAGTCAGATCACTTATCTTCTTGCAACTTCTGATTCTTGGCAAGAAGCTTCATCAATCTTGAGTTACAGTTTATCCTTATCCCTCGGTGCAACAGGGAGAATTGTTTGCTATTCTCATGGTCTTACTTGATTTCCCTACTACTGTTTGTAACATTGTTAGTGATTCTCAATACGCCATTTATGTTACTTCTTATATTTCTCAGGCCACTTTACCTCTTTGTGCTACTTCTTCTCTTCAGAAATCCTTTTCTTTGTTATCCTTTACTTTGAGCCAACGTCGAGCTCCTTTATTCATCACTCATCTTCGTTCTCATTCTCAACTTTCTGGACCATTAGTTCATGGTAATACTCAGATTGATTTGCTTTTAATAGGCCACCTACATGCTGCAGAACAAAAATATACTCTACATCACACTAATAGTTCTGGCCTTCAACGATGGTTTCATTTAACTCATAAACAAGCTCGTTCTCTTATTCGAGCTTGTCCTTCCTGTGCTCCTTTGAGCATTCCATCCTTCCATCCTGGGGTTAATCCACGAGGTGTCCCTTCTTTTGGACGATTAAAATGTTCATCATACCATTGATACCTTTTCTCATTTCTGTTATTACTCATCTCTTAGCTTATTTCGCCATCATGGGCATTCCTCATACTTAAAACTAATAATGCCCCTGCCTATGTCTCTCGTAAATTACAAGTTTTCTTACAGCAATACAATATTCAACATATCACCGGTATCCCGGGCAACAGTCAAGGTCAAGCCATCATTGAGCGCACAAATTTAACTTTAAAAACTTAACTATTAAAACAAAACAAAAAGGGGGAAATGAGCCCCCCAGAAACCAGATTTTGAAACCAGATTTTGAAGGTTCTTTTTACCTTAATTTTTTTGAATCAATGGAGACAATTGCAAGATTCCACTGCCGTAACCCATCTTTCCTCACCTCCCTCGGTGATAGTCCCTGCTGACAGTTTAAAGGTTTGGTATCCTAATGAAGAAGGTAAGCATGTTCAAGGGCAAGTTCTAAAACAGGGACGGGGCTATGCTCTTGTCCTTACAGGGAGTGGACCTGAGTGGTTTCCTACAAGATGATTGAAACCCTGTTGAAAAGAAAACTGAATTCAGCATGCATTTCTTCCTTTGTTGGATGTGCCTCGGTGGGTGACTTATTTCCCTTAGTGAGGCTTTGTATGAATATTGGACTTATATTCCCTTTCCACCCTTTTATCAGGGAGTCGCCTGGGGAGAGGCGGAAATTAAGGTTTTCACCAATGACACTACTTGGATGCCGTCCCCCTATATAGACAAGGACAATATAGAACGGGAAACAGCAATTATAATCAGCACATACCAATTTGGAGTGGAAGGACTTCCAATATGTATGGGAAATAGTCCTCATTGTCTCCGAAAATCGCATGAAGCTTGGGCTGTTCGTTATAATCATAGTCATGTGGCTGCTAATACTGTTATTATTGTAACTAGAAGTTTTTAATATAATCATACTGTATATAGTAATGAAACTATTCCTAGTTCTTTACTTTTTTGTCCTATTCTAGAGGTTTCTCCTAATATTCAGGTGCTGGAGTAACAACAATGTCGGGGAACTAAACCCCGGATTTTATTAGAATACAATGGGATGCAAATAACTGATTGAAGTGTGCACGGTGATTTCCAACAAAATTTAGTCACATACCTTTGAAATGACACTGGGTAAATAAAAGTATTGCTGCTAACAGTAATGAAACCTTGGTATGGCGTGAAGGAGGCCTGAAGTACAGAGTTATTTTTGGAAGTTGTTAGCTGCAGGCGATGCCATTAGCACTTTTGTGGGGAATATGCCCCTTAATCTTTCTAACCCGAATAACTCCTTTCATATTCAGTTATATCGGAATACCTCCTGATATATTATTGCTTGTGTCCGTAAGCCCCACCTATTATTAGCAGGAAATTTGACATGGGATAATCTTACGGGGATTGTTAATTGTACAGATACGTGTACATTTTTGTCTTGCCTCAATCATTCCTGGTGGCACAATTTTACTGAGGATATTTATATCCTCAGGGCTCGTAAGGAAATTTGGCTACCTGTTAACCTTACGCGACCATGGGGGGCATCACCTCTTGAGACTTATATTTGGACTTCTCTCCAGCGAACCCTCCGTGCCCTTGGACTTATAATTGCCTCGGTGATGAGCCTTGTCGCCATCGTCTCCACTGCAGCCGTAGCAGGGCTCGCTCTTCATCAAAGCATACAAAATGCTGAATTTATGCAGCAATGGCACGAACAATCTCACCGGTTATGGCTTCAACAACGAAACATTGATTCTCAACTTGCTGAAAGATTGGACAACATGGAGCAAGCATTGACATGGCTTGGAGATCAGCTCACTGTACTCAGTACTCGGATGACATTACAATGTGATTGGAACTCCACTCAATTTTGTGTAACGCCTGTGCCTTTTAACATCTCTCAAAATTGGACTGTAATCCGAAAATTATTAGTAGGCCATAAAAATATTAGTTTGGACATCCAAGAGCTCACTCAGAACATTTCCGAAGCATTTCGACAACAATTACATGTGTTGTCCGGAACTGTAACCCTTCAGGAGCTGGGTCAGCGCCTTGCTTTAACCCATGGACCCAGATGAAGATATGGATTTCTACAATCTCTGGAAGTATATTGCTTTGGGCACTTGGATTGGGTCTACTTCTTTTGGTGATTCGATGCTCCCTCCGTCGCCTCCAAAAACAAAAGAAAACACAAGAACAAATATGGGCTACCTTTTTAGGATTGAGGCAAAACAAAAAAAAAGGGGGGGGAAATGCAGGGGCCTTTGAAAACAGTATGCTGAGAATAGATAGGGCTCAAGGACAGTATCTCCAATTGAACTTTTAATGAACTCCCGTAGGCGCCAAGAAGGCGGGCAGATAAGGAAGAGCATAGAAACAAAGAACTGAGTAGAAGGTTACATCTGGGAAAAGAAAGTTTGTTTTGCATTGCATTCTTTCTGCTGACGTGGGGTTTATGGAGTATAAATAAAGTGAGGCGGAGGCTCTGAGCACGGCCGCCATATTCTCTGTGTGTCTTTGTCTTTTGTGTGTTCTTTCATTCTCCACCACCCCCGGCACGGACCTCAACAAATACTGTTAGGATTATTTGCAATACCAGAAGGCTGTGTCTTGATCCATAAAACACTCAGCACCAATAATTTCCTTTTGCCCTCCTAATGTTCCGGAGGAAAGTACAAGCTGTCCATTGTAGACACTGGAGAATGTGCTGGCCTTGTTTTCCTTTCCTCACCTCACCAAGTGAAAATGAGTTTCACTTTTGGGAAGAGCCTTCCGTCATGTTGTATAGTCACGTGATGTCAAGACCCTGGCAATGACCCCCGACTCCCAGTTCAGACTGTTCACCACCAGAAAGCTACCTCTGGCTGGGCTCTTGCCAGAGAAGTGTCCTTCAAAATGTGGGTCACAATTCATGATCAGGTCAACCTAGTGGATTGTGACCAGTATCTTGTGAACAAGACAGAAGGTAAGACAGGTAGAGTAGAGCAGAAGACTCCAGATTGCATCGCACATAGAAGAGGAAGGTTTGCTTGTATAATACTCATCTCTTTTAAGGCAGGGGTGTCCAACCTTTGGTCTTCCCTGAGCCACGTTGGAAGAAGAATTGTCTTGGGCCACACATAAAATACACTAAACAATAGCTGATAAGCTAAAAAAAAATTTGCAAAAACATCTCATAGTGTTTTAAGAAAGTTTATGAATTTGTGTTGGGCTGTGTTCGAAGCCATCCTGGGCTACATGTGGCCCATGGGTAATGGGTTGGACAAGCTTGTTTTAAGGGGTGTATGTTTGTGTATGTGTAAGTATGTATGTACATGTGACTACTATATCTCCATGTACACGTCTATGATTTATGGCCCAAAAACTCTAAAAACCCATTGTTCTAAAGTAAACAACTCCCAGAGATATTTTGCATTTATTTTAACCATAAATCATCTTCCATCTCAATTTGGGGTGGGATAAGAATGTCCCGAGCAAAGAAGGCCAAACTACTGTTGCCAGGGAGTAATACAATGAAATACAGCAATGGTAATTACGGTAATGGTGGTTGCTCACATTTGCTAAACTTCTACGCCCTATCAGGCACTAGTTTAAAACACTACCTGTGTTAAGGCCATTACAGCTATAAGATTGGCACTAGTAGATATTACCCCTGAGCAAGCGAAAGAACAGCCCAGTTAAATAATGCCCTTTAAAGACATAAAGTTAGTAGCAGTCAAAGACTGGATTTGAACCCAGGAAGTCCTGCTCTGGAGCCTGTACTCACACCCATGAGATTAAACCATCTCTCTCAGCAAACCATGCCCAAAGCCTCATGGGCTACCCTACAGCTAAACTCAGGCTATTAAAACTTCATCTTTAACAAGCATCTCTCCTTGCCTTGAATAATTAACAGCTGTCATTGCTTCTGCAGCGGCAAAGAGCCTGTGTGAGAAACAGATGTGCATGCACTCACAGCAGAGGGAAGGGAGGGAAGCGCCTCCGGGAGACTCTGGCTCCAATACAGCACCCTGGGGCTGAGCGGGGCAAACGCCCCGTGCCAGGGAGCAGGGGAGAGGGCAGCACGATGCCTCCGGCCAGCGTTCAGCTAAGGAACCAAGAGCTCGAGTTTCTGAAATCAAGTGTGCAAGGGGCTTAAAGGCAGAAGGACTCAACGTGCCCAGTGTGGATACTGGTGGCATTTTCCAACACAGAAATCTCGCACTGATACCATGATACCTCCTCTTTTTGAACATCTGTTGTGCAGTTTCTGAACATACTGCTTTAGCCCAGAAGTATGCTAGAAAGCCTTCCCAGTAACCAACACCGATGTTGAAAAGCCATTGTCCCTGATATCACACGGCTTAGTTTCTAGGAGGCCATTTCAGACCCTCCCTTTGCATGCACTCACCCTCAGCGTGCACACAGTTCCAACTAATCAGCTGATTTTGTTCTTAAACTCACAACTGTCTGGAAGCAGGTAGGCAGGGAGGCAGAGAACAGACACACGGAAACCCATTCATTAGGATGTGATGGGTAGTAATGCCGACAGCCTGTGTTTACTGTGCATTTACCGTGTGCTCGTCATTACACCAAGGGCGTTACTTTCATCTCCTCATAGGATGCTGACAAAATCCAGAAAGGGACAGTATGACCCACCCCCACCTTCCCATTTCACAGGCATTGAAACCAGGCTCAGACAACCTTGCCCAAGGCCACATAGCCCATCAGTTGCAAAACCAGGATGTGAACCCTGGCTATAGGGCTCTGAAACTGAGGCTCACCACCATAGTCAGTAACACCCACTCACAATGTAGGAAAACCGTAGAGTGAATTCACAAGCACACAAAATGCTGAAGCCTAGAGCCACTGAATACACAGCAAAGAGGATTTTCTGTCTTCTCTGCCACAGTCACAGCACGTAATGCCGTGCATGGGACAAAGTGCTCAGTAACACTTGTTAAATGAAATAAGAACACACATTTTTAAGAGCCCCTAACAGCCCCACGGATATTCCTGTGCCGTTGGGAAAGGCCATGCAATCACTCTGCTCTCTTCAGTCAGGTTTTTCAAAGATAACCGAACAATATATCTGAACTAAGTATTTCTACAAAAATAACTCACATTAAATGGATGAATTTCGTGGAAGATACAGATGCCCAGAGTCCACTCAAGAAATAGATAACTTCAGTGGCTCCATGTTTATTAAAGAGTCTTAATGTATAGTTAAAGCCTTCATACAAAGAAAACTCCACAGATAGTTTTGCTGGGGATTTCTAACAATTATTTATGGACCAAATAATACCAATTCCGCACAAACTCTTCCAAAAAACCAAAGGAAAGGAATTCTACCCAATTCATTTTTTGAGGCTAGCATTAGTTACCCTGATACCAAAATCAAAGACATTATAACAAAATTGCAGGTCACTATGCCTCATAAACAAATTATAAACACAATTTTAGAAAACTAAATCCAACAATGTATTTAAAAGATAGCCCTTATTTTTTCTTGAGACAGGGTATCGCTCTGTTACCCAGGCTGGAGAAGTGCAGTGGCGTGATCTCGGCTCACTGCAACCTCCACCTCCTGGGTTCAAGCGATTCTCCTGCCTCAGCCTCCCGAGTAGCTGGGATTACAGGCGCCCACCACCATGCCCAGCTAATTTTTGTATTTTTAGTAGAGACAGGGTTTCACCATGTTTGTCAGGCTGGTCTCGAACTCCTGACCTCAAGATCCGCCCACCTCAGCCTCTCAAAGTGCTGAGATTACAGGCATGAGCCACCATGACTGGTCAAGATAACCCATCTTAACCAAATAGAGTTTATCCCGGGATTGCAAGTTTATTTTAACATTTGAAAAATCAACCAATGTCATTCATTATACAAAGAAGAATCTCTAACTAGACACACACATGAAAGTATCTGAGCAATGACACCACCCATGACTGATCACACCACTTGCAACACAAGAGAAAGGAACATCCTCCATGAGATAAAGAGCATCTATGGAACACTTGCAATTAATGACCTTGAGGTAAAAAATTGACCGCCTTCTCCCTAAGGTTGGACACAAGACAAGGAGTGTCTATGGAACACTTACAATTAACAACCTTAAGGTAAAAAATTGACCGCCTTCTCCCTAAGGTTGGACACAAGACAAGGATGTCACCCTTACCACTTCTATTTAAAATTTTACTGGAGGTTTAAGCCAATGCAGTATGACAAGAATGAGTAATAGACAGCATTTATAGACTGGAAAAGAAGGAGGAAAATGGTCTTGATTTGTAGACAACAGGATAGGCTAGGTGGAAAATCCAACAGAATTGACAAAAGAGCTACAAAGAACTATTAAATGAATTTGGCAAGGTAGGAGAAAAGGAGATCAACATACAAAAAATAATGTATCTCTATATACTAGCAACAAACAAAAAGTTAAAGTTTAAAAAATATACAGATTAAAATAGCCTTCAAATATGAAATACCTACAGGCACATTTGACAAAAGAGATGAATGACTTGCAAACTGAAAACTGTGCAATATTGCTGAGAAAAATTAAAGACGACCTAAATAAGTGGAGAGATATCTTGCGTTTGTGGATTGGAAGAATCTACATTGTTAAGAGGTCATTTTTTAAAGAATTGATCTATAGATTCAACATGACCCAGTCAAAATCCAAGTATGCTTTTTTTTTTTTTTTTTTTTTGTAGAAATTGACAAGCTAATCCTGAAGATTCACATTAAAATGCAAGGGATATAAAATACACCCCCCCAAAAAAACAAAATTGGAGAATATTATTTTAAGGCTTATTATAAAGCTACAGTAATCAAGTAGTAAGGTAATGACATCAGATAGACAAATAGTTCACTGAAAAATAATACAGATCCCATAAATAAACCCACAAATGTATTAGCCACTGATTTTCTTTTGGAATTTTTGATGGGGTCTGTGTCACCAAGGCTGGCCTCAAATGTCTGAGCTCAAGCCATCCTCCCACTTTGGGCTCCCAAAACACTGGGATCATAGTTGTGAGCCACCATGCTGTTACAGCTGATTTTTAACAAAGATGCAAAGAGAATTCAATGGACACAGAATTATCTTTTCCAAAAATGGTGATGGAAATATTGGAGAGTCATATGCAATAATTGAACTTCAACACATCCTTCACATCATATGCAAAAATTAACGCAAAATAGATAATCAATTTGTGACTTTAAACGTTGTTTTAGATCTGACACAAAAGTACATTCTGTCA